GTATCCAAGTTACCTTTTCTTTACATTAATTGTATGCTACCTTCAAGATCACAGATTTACATTTATACAGGATAGTACCATTTGTTTATATATATACATATATTTGTGTGTAAATTATTATTTTTGTATGCATGGATATGTGTAACAATAAGTGTATGTTTATAATATATACTATACATACATATATTTGTATATAAATTATTATTTTTGTATGCATGGATTTGTGTAACAGTAAGTGTGTGTTTGTGTATGTGGGTATGCATATGTCAAATATCTATTGAACTAACTCCAAGAGATTAGTTTGCATTAAGTTTCTAATTATATGCTAAGTACTTATTAAATGAAATTACTATTTCTGTTAATACTTAAATGATTTTTTTTTTGAATGACCATCTTCAATACTTAGGGTACAGGTTTGCCAGACTGGCTGTGTAGAGGTATCATCCCCTGGTGCCCTTTGTATTCAAGATGCACTAGTTTTATAATAGAGTACTGCCATTACTACAAGATTTTTTTTTTTTTTTTTTTTTTAATTTACCTTATATCTATCATTTTTATTTAATTGTGTTTTCTTTTATCATTATATGGTTTCTATGCTTTTGATCCAGTGTGGTGATGCACTTCTCAATGTCAAACTTAATCACAAGTCATGTTACATTATCCTTAATATAGAATTGTAATCAATGTTATCATTTTGTAATAATTGTTCATGCCCCCTGTGGGCCCTTGATTGGTGAATAAACATATATATAAAGTTAAGTATTGGTGATTTGCTTAATTACAAATGCTATTTTGCCACAGTAGAAATTACGGTGGGATACCTGATGAAGGCAGGGCCGTGATTTAGATTTTTAATACACCAGTACGATATAAAACCGCCGAAACACATTGCTGTAAAAACAATACTGTCAATAAGAAATATAAATCTTATTCAAAACGATGTCAAAATCAAAGAGTCTGAAATAAGAAAAATCACAGAACTGTGGCGGGTCCTATGAATTTAAAAATGTGTGGCTGATGGGTATTGCCTATACATGCACTTGCAGGTACCAATGTGGGGGAAGAAAAAAGGGAAAGAACAAGAATTTTTTTCTTTATTTTGTTACTTGATACCACCTTTAGATGTAGAGTGTACATGAAACTTTCAATGTACACTGTACACAAAAGTTGGTGTAGAGTGTACATGGAATTTTGCAATGACGCTGTACACTTTGTACACTTTTTGTTTCAAGTGTAAGTTGTCATTGGGTTTCGTTGAAAATGTTGTACACGTTACAACATTACATTAGTGTAAATCGACGGCCGCTATCGGCCATCGTAAAAATCTCCATCATTTACAAAAATCTCAAAAAGACTGAAATTATTTGCATATGAAAAAGCATACACACACTAAAAAGAACGAAAAAGATCAATTTCTGATACTTTAACAAAACTTTTCAATATTAGTAGGTCTTCGCTCCATTTTTTTGAAAGATAATCCTAAAAGTTTGCAATAAAATATAACTTTTTTGGTTTTCAAAAATATGGAGCAAAGACCCACTATACCTTAAAAGTACACTTTTATTACATACAATTCGCATCTTTCCGAGAAATATACTTCAAGTCCATTAAATCAAGGGTCATATCACAAACATGTTTGTGATCTGATGGGGCCCCATCTCACCATGAACCATGAAGCGTAGTGGTTAGCGCATTAGTCTGAAAGCAGTATGATACTCCGGATTTTTATTGCTAGAGTTCGAATCCCACGAATATTATCTTATATTTTTGCAAAAGAATATTTTTTCCCGAGATTTTTTTCTCTCTCAGAAAATGTTTGTTTTTCAAAATTTCTTAAATTTCAATAGTGAGAACTTAATTTAGATACTCAATTCACAAACTGAATATGATTTTTTAATATCTGAAGCTATAGGCATTCTGCATGTCTTGTCCCCATCTCCTTTGACCTCTTGATCATGACCTTGGAGTTTGACCAACTTTTACAAAAAAAATTACCAAACTTTAAAATTACATATGGCGTATTCTTGAAAAGTTCAGACTAATTAAAATTAAAAAGATCTTTCTATTTATTTTATTTCTTTATATAAAGATATGACTCTCCTGTAAATTACACAATTCAAAAATCAATCGCATTTCATAGATATTAGAAATCTTAAACAATAACCGATTTATTTCCGTCTCCGCATTTAAATGGCGGACACAGTTTAAAGTCAGTTTAACTTAAGAAAGGTTGGGTTATTCAAGTTAAAAATTGGTGAAATTTTAATTTGACCGCACACAGTAAATAAAAAATATATATTATGTTCATCTACACTCAAACTCGTATTTTTTTTTTATTTTTTAGCTCCGATACACCATATATACCTTTCAGCTTGGCCAAATCTTTTGAACAGTTAATACTAGGGCTTTCATACTTCACATTTAAATTCATTATGACAAATTCCTTTTCATTGGTATAAATATTTTTGACCTGTTGACCTTGACCTTAGAGTTAAACCCACTTTGTAAAAAAAAAACCTTTAACCTTGGCCATAACTTTTGAACAGTTAGTATTAGGGCTTTCATATTTCACATGTGCATTTCTTGTCGGAAAAAAACTTTCTCTTTATATACCAACAATTTTGACCATTTGACCCTGAACTTGAAGTTTTTAAAGTTTTTTTTTTTAAATCTCGTCTTTTTTGACAAAAGCTGCCATATGGGGGCATCAGTGTTTCACAAACACATCTTGTTTTTAAATGAAAATTTCATTTGAAAGTAAAATTATCTTTCATGACATCTAATATTCAAGTAAACAACATAAATGAATTATTAACGCGGCTATATATCGATTATCTCGCCTGTCTTGTTACATTAAGTTTTCAATTAGTGATGTTTGATTTATGTACAATTTTAATTTCATCATCAGAACATGTCATCAATACTTTATAAAGCCTAATCGAAGTGCACTTGAATGTCCCTTTTAGACAACAACAGCAAACCGATTCTTTAAAGTACAAGTTGCACATATTTTACTTCACAAAAAGGGAATGCATTAAAAAAGTGACAATGAACATTCAAATTCTATCAATTCCCAAGAGATGGGTAAAAAAGATGAATTGGAATTCGTAATATTATATGAAAGTTTTGATATCTTGTAAACACAATTTGATAATACCTATTTAAATCCGCCTTAGCACTCTATTTGGAATTTTTTTTGTTTAAAAAATATAGTGATAACATTGTATGTTTGAAATATTTACTGTCAATATTGCATTATATTTTGAAAAGATTTCGTTAAATCTCTCTTTAAGCAATAGATTGTTTCATTTTTATTTTCAAATTTACATCGTATTTTATGTATTTTATTTTTTCAAAGAATTTTTGTATTTTTCTACACGTTTTTTGCGCCAGTTTGGCGGAAATTTTCCTTGTTTTCGGACATAATTAGCTTGTTTACACACGTTTTCAGTTGTTTATATCATATGACCGACAGATGTCGGGGGATTTACTTAAATATACCCTCAACGATGGAATAAATTGTATTAAATGTGTGTCAGACCGATAAATTATTCTATATCTGGGACCCTGATGTAAGACAGATCAATGAGATGAAGAAATGTTTATCAATTGCAATCAGCACAAAACCGAAACAGACTCAAAGATCAAAGGCTTACATTTTATGAGATATGTATTTTTTTCTTCAATTAATCTATAAACTACATTTTTTCAAAACTAAAAATATATTTCAAAGCCATTAAGTTTCTGCTTTAAACCTAATTTTTTATGCAATTAAACCATCTAAATTATCGCATGGGGGAATGAGTTCACTTCAGATTTGGACAGATATAATGATAATTGAAAGCTTTTAGGTGGTATACATGTATGCTAAAGTTATATTTACATGTAAGATTTGGAGCTGTAGTTTGCTGGAAAAGTCAATAGAAAAGGCTGTAGGAATTTATGACCCGTATTTATTTGAACTATACTGCTTCTCTATGGAGAGCGTCTGCCCCGCAGGTGTGTTCATTATTTGTTTGGACGGAACCCTTTTATTAAGAAAAACAAAGATTTTTTTCTGAGCCCTTACTGAAATTCCTTATGTTATCTTGGTGTACTAAGCAGTACACTTAACCTTTTACAAATTGGAATAAAAGAGGAAAATAATGTACTTTTCTAATTAAAGAATCATTCATAATTAAACAAAGTTTTTTTCTGGGAAATTTATAACGAAAAGAATCTCACAATGCCATGACGTTAACGTTGACTTGAAAATAGTTTGTATACAACTTGACAGGGTTATTTTATTTATAAAGTGCCCTGTGCTATATTCAGTTGTGCATGGAGCCACAGAAACGAGCGAAGATGATGCAATCTCGTAAACACGACATCACGACCCTTCATTTTGTCAGAACGACATTTTTTTTTCTGTGTAATACATTTAAATTATCAGCCCACCGATCCTAAAACAAAACCGCCTGTAGAAGAAAAAAAAATATTCCTTTGTGCTAATTTTGATCAATTTACGCTGATAAACGGTTGCACGTGTATCTATTATCATATTTTCCGCCCTGATTTCAGCTGGATAGCACAAAAAAAGAACATAGTAAATATTGTAGTCCGTATAGCGCCGTGGGATGGAAAGTTCAAGACGGTGGGCTAAGGCGTTTTGTTGCAAATTAAACTTTGTTAAGTGTTCGAAAGGCGTACAACTAATTCACAAAAAAAAAAATCGTCTATGGGAGATAAAATTTCTTCAGAGTTTTTTTCTATTTACAAAACTTTTATCCCGATTTTGCCAAGTTTATCAAAATAATAAAAGAAAATTGATATCATTTGAAAAATTGTAAAAATGAAAGTGCATGCTACCATAGATGTGTGTTTCATAAGAGAATAAAAAGGTATATTTTTGCTTTTTGGCAAAAGTTTAAAAAGTTCGAAAATTTCGATACCTCGAGAAGTAAGAAATTTATTACTTTTATCATAAGTAAAAAAAAAAAATAATAATGATAATACAACTGTTAACAACATTTCACTTTAATACTCAATATAGTCACAAGTCATAAAAAAATCATACAACTTATATGATGTGTCATTTTCAAGAACACTTTGAATTAACTTGCAATCAGCATATCATATAGTAAAGTCGGTTTTTTTGCGTGAGGTATTCATTTTGGAACTAGAAGCTAACGCACGTGTTTCTCGTTTAACTTTAAATGACGCATGAAAGAATCGTGTAATATCATCTCTTGATAACACGGGAATTTCACAGGTCAATTTTACTGATAGTGTTACAACACAGCTTCCGGATTTCGTCACGGAAACGCCCGTCAAAAAGTCCGTACAGGAACGGGTTCATGGCATGGTTCACAACCCGCATAGCACGCATGAACTGAAACAGCTGTTGTAGGAAACCGTAAGGGTTCCGGAACCATGCTTCCGGGTCGTTCACGCAAAGTATCACATAGACTATTGTAGGAATATTAGACACGACGTTCGTCAGAGATATAGTCATAAACATGAAAGTGAGTCGTCGAGTAGACAGTTTAATTTTGGATCCCTTTGACCGTTTTAATTTTGGCACTTCGTTCGGAACTTGAAGGGTATTATAATTTGGAAGTTTCACTTCCTTGTCTTTTTCGCGGTTGCCATTAATTTCCTGTCGTTTCGGTGGAGGGGATTCACTCTGATCTTTCTCTTCACTCGGAACCGGAACATCCGATGCCTCAGACCGCGAAAAACTTCTACAATGATTCAACTTCCGGACTCTATTTTGTCTTAGGAGATGTTTAAGTATATAAAGATACATGATCACTACAATAGCAATACTTATAACACATACAGACATAGCGGCTGCAGTAAAACTTATCAGTCCAGTGGCCATGCTTTCTGGTTGTCGTATTGGACCACAAATGTACCCAGTCACATTATACTTGGTACTCCTTACCGGAACTTTGCCGTAAAATATTAGTTCCGGTATCAGAATAATGGTTGTCACTATCGAAATGGTAACTAATGAAAATCTTTTCCAATACAGGGTCATTTGTTTTTGGAATGGTCGACAGATTTTCAGAAAACGTTGTATCGAAATCACTACTAATAGAAATATTGAGCTTTGTGTTGCCAAGTAATTTACATAGAGGAGACACTTGCAAAGAACATCATCCGGAAATATGACCGGGAAGATGTTAACTGTTAGAGCGAACCACGTAGAGAATGCACAAGCCAACATGTCCACCACGGCTAGAATTGGAATGAAATAACGATCATCCTTGTATCCTTTCATTTTAAAATTGTATATGAAAATAATGAAAAGATTTCCAAATGTTCCGACTGTAAATAAGACGGAATGGACCACAGTACTGAGCGTAAATGAGCGTGATATCTCGTGGTTCCATTGCTGGAGGAGTTTTTCCGTATCAAGAGATGTCGTTAAATTTTGCATTGTCAACGTCATCTGAAATTTTAAAAAGATAATTTGTTAAGCCTGAAGTAAGAATATTAAGAACCTTATTTCCTTAAGTATGGTTAAAATGCTTATACATTGTAACGCATAGGCTTCCCTGCAAACAGACATTTAATGCCTATTTAACGTCAAAACATCCTCTTTTATTAAGTAGGAGCTCGCGATAGATGTCAAGGTATTTATATTTTACTGTATCGAACTTTAAAGTCAATAAAGTAAAATATTTAGCCACAGCTTATTTTTGAGGGATGTGTCCTAATTAGCTCTGCACGCCAAGGTTAGACAGAACTGTTTACAATCTTTTATTAATGACGGCATCTTCGATTTTCAATTGAACAAAGGATATTGATGAAAAGCTAGATATGACAGACAAACAGGAAGTTGCTATCGAGCCATCCGACTCTTTTACATGACTCCGCGAATGGCGCTCTGTCACACTATTGGAAATTTCTTTTCAAAAATAATATCTCTTTTTGAAGTGCTTTAATCCGCAACACTGATTTTATTAAAAAAGGAAAAGTTTTAATTCTATTTTTGCTTGTTTTGTTGATGTGGTAAATTTCATTTTAGAAAATATAGCGTCATCAAAATTTCTGACGATATCGGAATTTTTGTATTGAAAAATAAAACGCATTTGTTCTAAAGTTATAAAAATACAATATATTTGCAATTATATATCTATTTCTGAATTTTTAGCACTAGTGAGTGCTGTTGGGTTAGAATCAAATTGAATTAATGCCTGCATATAATGGATTTCGCATTTTATGAGTCGTTGTAAGCATGAGATTTAATGATGCACTTAATTCACTCAACTTGCTTGCCGGCACAGGAAGAGTAATAATTTTCATAAATCTCCGTATTAATTTGTTATTTATTTATTATTTTAATCTTCGTTTTTGCAATAGGATGGGAAACTGAAGTCCATATGCCTTCATTTTGTTGTCGAAGTCTTAAAAACGATTGGTTTTCTTCTGATGAGATCATAAAACATTTGCCATATACCTTATGAAAAATGCATCGAACGCCAAAAGGCATAGACACTATCACCCGATATTTACATGTTTACACTGATTACAAATTCATATATCTATAATTTCCCAATTAAGGTAGCAAGCTCCAGACAACAACAACAACGTACAAGAACAATAGCAAGAAAAAAACAAAACAAAACAAAAACAAAAAAACAAAAACAAAAAACAACAACAAAAAAAAAAACATACAAACTTTTGATTTAGGTATTTTTTAAGTAGAAAAATAATATTTTTTAAATCGAACTCTTTAAATATAAATTATTTTCGGACTTTGCAATTTCTGAAAGAATTACATCATTTACGGATTTCCGTACTTTATTTATTAACTTTTGAACGTCATGTACTCCAGTATATTATTAGGTTTGTTAATCCTCTAATTTAGTTCCCAAACCCTTGGATTTTATGCTTATATAGCTTTAAAAGCTATAAGTTCAAACTGAATGTGATAAACTTTTGAAATTCTAGAATTAGTATTCACCAAGTATAGAGCGTACTGGCTTACATACCGGTATGTCATTTTTAATTACATGTATATGAATAAAATCGAAGTCTGTTTTTCTATGTAAGCATATATTTTGTGCTGCTTCTTTTCACATATTATATAACGTACTTAGGGTAACGTTGAATAACAAAAATGTTTTAATAGTTAACCAAACTTGGGCAAACTAGCTCAGTAATAACAAAAATGAAATAGTTAACCAAACTTGGGCAAACTCTCTCTCTCTCTCTCTCTCTCTCTCTCTCTCTCTCTCTCTCTCTCTCTCTCTCTCAGGCATAGAATGATAGAAGGTCATGCAAGAGGAAATTTATAGATACAATATATTTCATCCCAATAATTTTATCAAAAACTATCAAAGTTTAATAAAAATTATGTAAGTGGAGATTACAATGACACAAATTAAATTAAATATAGCTAACATATCCGTGTAGTACAAGTGTTTAAATTGTTATTGAATTGTTGCACTTTAAAGCAAGGAAAATATTCTCGCTACAGATATATCTCAAAACAGCTGATTGCCCTGACAACCATAATTCACTGTTATCTATTTGTTCCCTGCCTTCACGAAAGAATTATTTATAACCTCCATTGGCTAATTCTGCTCACTTGAACGTTAACCGATGTGACATAACATTAACCGATCCACACGGCGTTGGGGTTTGATAGTTATCATTACACCCACTGCAAAGATTAGGGGAACATATACTCTACGATTAACGAGATGGGTTTAGTTTAGAAGTTTTTATTTTATCGGATCAAATCGACAATTTTTTACACCATTATTCCATAGCATCCCCGTTTTCTACGTTAACTACCCCCCATTTCCTCCCCAAAGTCAATTAATGACGTAACACATGCATTGCATCCCCTCGAAATTCAATCAAAGACACTTCGTGCATTGGAATAAAGTTCGAGTTCAAAGTTATAATTACATAAAAGTTCGATAATATCAGTTAATTTCCTCTTTGTTCTCTAGGGGAAAGAATGACTTTTGAAAGATAATCTTGAACATATTTGTTTTAAATTCTTTCTATAAATTAAGATTTTGATAGCATATGCCCATGTATCCCTTTGTCAGGTTTGTCAAAACACTATAGCATATTAAAGAATGCCGCTTTCAATCTCGCAGTGCAATTATCTTAGATTCACATTAATTAATCAAAGAAATTAAGCTATAACTATGATTTAATCCTACTCCCTAACAGCTTTACGATATAATGGTAATTCTTTACAGAAATAACATGTCATATATTCTGGCTGGGGTGAGTAATTCTAAAGGTGCGCCAGTTGTGCTGGCTGAAGATTTAATTGTACGAGAGGAAACGCGAAATCATGGTCATCAAATCGGAGAAGAAACCTAGCAAAACTTACGATGAGGATAATATAGTTCTATTTCGGGCCACTTAATTATTTCTGGCTTATATTTTTATCTTCCATAACCTAGGGAAGAATTGTGTGGAATGAAATCCGTATCAGTAATAGGGATTTTATACATCTTTGTATTACTAAGGTTAAGATCCTTTGAAAAATGAAGAAAAAAGTTTTTTAAAGATTAAAACAGATTTTCTTTTTGAAATTGAGAGAAAGAATTAAATGCCTTTGGTGGTTAAAAAAACTTACCGGATTCTGCTATATACAGAGAGTTTTTTCTTTAATCGATTTCCCACATCCTTTAAAACCACATCCTAGAAAGTAATCCGTGGAGAAAAATCATTTCTGACTGAGAAATTGCAGATATTTGATAATAAAATGCTTTTTTTCTTTTTAATCCCGGAGCGTCAATTTCACAAACCCACGTGGTTAACTCTTCCGCGCTTCGATAGAAATGACACCGGACCAGGGTGCATTTTGGTTGGTCGATATTTATACACGAAAGCTGAGACTTTGGTTCGCGCACCGAAACAATCTTGTCAATTAACACTCATACATACACATATTTGTATTTATTAACCAATATTTACATAACATTTTTGCCACTGGGGCAACATGACTGTTTCGTGAATCTTTTTTTTAAGTACACGTTTTCCTCTTTTACTTATTTAACATATATTTCATGATTGGGAAGTTTCTAAAATATATATTAAAATCCTGCAATTGCCTGCATTATAAAGTCCATGCAACCGCAGAACTGTACATAACTCCTCCAGAGAATTTAAGGCGGACAAACTTAAACATTTCCCAGGTTACCATACATATGGAACATCTTACAGGATGAAGTTATCTAAACTCAACCATATCGGATGTTGTCGTGTCAAATAAAAACTTCAAACTTACACGCATAATTTATAAAGTTGTGAAGAGTTTGAGGGATGTATTAGTGATGATTTAGGAGATTTCTGTTTCACGGGAACAAACCAAAATTTTTTTATAAGTCGGATAAATGGTCCTTGATTAAGTCAATAGAAGTATTTCAAAATTGAAATATTACAGTATGAAAAACATTTACATGTATATACGCACCTGAGTCGTTATATTAACCTATTGTTATCTGGTTTGTTTTTGTTAGTCGTCGTCAATCGTGCGTCGGTCATAAACTTTTGAACGTTTTATATATCTTTTCTGGAAGCACGGAACCAATTGTAAATTGCATGATGTCTGCTTCCTCTGGGTCTGGTGGACGCGGCAAATCTGTCATAATTAATACGATCTTCTGAAATCTGCATTATTCGTATTCTTACACCTCAAGCAGACAGCTAACTAGACTGGTAGAATCAAGATTGTAAGTATTAAACCTTCTGCTATGTTGCGACATTCATCACCTTGAATTCAAGATTCAGTCTTTTTGAAGGGAGAGTCTGGATATGTATCAAAAATTAATTATTTATGATAAGATCTTCATTCATGGGCGTCCAGCAGGCAACCTGTTTGCATTAATATAATGAGTTCTCAACCTTTTACCAAAATTAATGCTTCGGGTCCTATAGTTGGGTAGAAATAATTGATCACATTTTGACATACATGTAAAATCTCCGAAAATCTTCTCCTCGTCATATAGACATTTGTATAACCTTTTCCAAAATTATGAAAGTTATGTCCTGCTGGGTCAGAGTTCACCTCTCCATTTGTATAGTAATATCTTAACATCGACTGCATAGTATCTTTAGCTAATTCAATATGCTAGAGCATGCTCTGAGCTAGTTCGATCAGATTTTAACCGAACAAGTTACTGACAATCAAGTTGTTGTTACAAAGATAACAGTTACTCTTTCAGTTTTTTTCCAGTCCTATGGTCACTATAAATAATGATTAAGTATTAGGTAATATTTTGTCTGACATGTATGATACTAATAGTAACACATTGCTTTTTAAATAATTTGAGTACTGAGTACCCCCTAACACGATCAAGATGGGGCTTAAGGCGTATTAATATCAACAGTGGGTGCCTACCCCTCCTAGGCCTAGATGGCTTCCACCTCTCTTTTATTGTAAGGGGTCTATTCTTCGTTTGATTTGATTCATTTACCGGATTGATAAGATTGGTCACTTTTGTCATCTTCACTTTTTACACTTTGAAAATTTTCTTTGCTCAGTTATCATCTAGAAAATGAATTCTTTACATATTTGTAATAAATATTAAGCCCAAAATTAAAAATTCAATGTTCTCTTCTTAAGTCTCGGGACCATGTTTCAGGTTTTAGGGTAGGGATCAGTTGGTCATATATTGAAAATAATCCTCACTTTGATATCTTTTTTACCTTTTAATTACTGACTAGTACCAGTTAATCTTTCTGCTTGACTCCAATGACTTCTCAAAATTTTAAACAAATATCCTTGGTCCATAACTCCAAAGATTACGGCTTAGTTATTCATTTATTGAAACTTTATTACACATTTGAAATTCTTATTTACTCTGCAAAACTATCTGTCTGCAAATTAATGGCCTCCATGCAAATGTTCATGGCCTAGATAGGGACGTCTGAGTTGGGAATATGTGTACACTAACTTTATTAAATCTGTGAAATTCTTCATTCTTTGTGGACGTATAACAATACAGTAATCAGCCATCTACAAGAATTATTATATTTGTGTCACCCACTCCCAGGAACCAGAGCCTAGGGTTTGACTGAGTTGGCCATTGTATATCGAACTTCTCTTCTTTACTTCTGAACTTCTAGAAGACAAGCCGCATGAAAATATACTTTCTTTGGTCTTTTGAAGAGACAACATCAACGTATTTTAAATCCAGTTACTTTGAAAAACTTCTTTACTGAATGTCCCTTAAAGATGTCTTGCTTTAAGTCTTTGATCGTATAGGTTAATTTTTGTGCACTTCTTTGGGATTCCAAGTCTTGTCTAATTACTTGTACCTCCAGCCCACTCATTAAAATAAAACCACGTCGCGTTAAAATGTGATCGTCACAATTGTACCGAAGCAAAGAGAAACAACCATAGTAATTAGTGTAGTTCTCTGCATACTCAGCATTCATACGGATGTTTCTGAGGAACCCCAAAAAACCACAATATTAATCCTTTTTACACTGATTTATCTTCATTTGTTTTTTTAGTAACGAACTCTGCATACTTAGCATTCATCTGAACATCAGAAATGTTAACCTTTCCTTCAATGATTGTCTCTCTTTGTTTTTTAGGTATGGATGCACTTGGAATTAAAAAAAACCCCGAAGACACCTGCATTGTTTACAATTAAGAAACCTTTGTAAAATAGCTGATTATGGTGAGTATTAACCACTCAGCTCACGTCCTTTTTGCGACTTTGTTTTAATAGGTATTCTACAAATAATAGAAAGCAGTTCTAAAAAGATGTTGAATACACGTCGAATAGAATGAGATATTTTCGAATGAGGACAATTTTATGCAGAATATTTGGCTTTACATAAAGTAAGCACTTGTATTGAGAAGACTAAATCATAAAAACTAATTTTACCTCTATCACATTAAAGATTGACTACTTATTGCAATCTTTCTAATCTTTTGTAGACAAAGCTGTTATCAGAGAGGAAGATAGTATAATGTCTGAGGGTGAAGTTACAAACCCTTACCCTCTCCGAGATCAAATTATTTTCATCTAATGATTGTACATGTATTAAGCTATAATTTACAAGGATTTTGAAGTTTTGTCTGATGAGGAAAAGGTAAGTAATTTTCTCCTCATGTGTGCCTGTGTATGTACATTATTTATTCATTATTCTGTTCCTTATCTCCATATGTTTCATTGTGAAGAAAGTGTAAACGAAAGTACAATTTATAATATGATTAATTTCCTTACACATGTAATCACCAATGCATCATTTCATATTTTTAGTAGGGAATTCATATAATTTAAGAATGAGAAAAACTGCATACATAATCCTCATTAAAATTATATGAATGTTTATGAGATTTTAGTACATGTGTATTTTTTCCTATAAGATATTTTATTTGTTCTTTCAAACACGATGAATGCATCAAAGGATCGGTTAGCAAACAAGACAACCTGTATTTTTGTTGGCCAGCATTGATTCGCAATCCATCTCTGTACTAGAATTCTCTTGTCTTTCCAACCGCTACAATTTCATATCTAAAAATAATATGTAAAATATACTTGTTCTTTTTATCTACCTATTTGCACACGTCATTAGATGATAAAAAAAACAACAAACAAAAGAAACCATGAAAGAACTAAGAACGCACGCAGATACCCCATAAAAAAAGTCATCCGTGAGCTAGTGTTAAAAAAGGAAGTAGAGAATACGATTAAAATATTTTGCGTCGTATATGTTTTCTATCGAATTTTATTCTGAAAATATAAGATTGATATTCACAAATTCTGATCAACTGTTATTTTTTTTCAGTACCATATAATATTGCTTGACATTTATGAATTCCATTGTGTATTCATAAACCATATGCAGATGAATAAGTCTAAAAATGAGAAGTATATTTAAGAAGCATAAAGGAATTTTAAAAAAATATATCCTTGATTCGTGGCACGTAAACCCAGATAGGTTTTCTATACACTGAAACCTATACTGAGTGTTTTAAGGAAGACACTTTGATGAACTGAAATTTAAAAATAGTTATTTCTTTCTAAACTTTGAATCGGAATATAGATAAGTACAATACGTCCTTACTGCAGCGTTTAGAGCAAAGTTTCACTCAAATATTTCATTTGAGGAGACGGACTTGAAATTTGGCACAGTTATCTGTTAGATAGTACTGTTTTTAAAATCTTCGTGCTCATCACAATTCTAAATAAATGTTGCATGTAGTTGAGTGTAACATTGAAAATTTTCAACTCCAAGAAAACCATTGTCAACCGAGGCTTAATCTGAAAAGGGTATGATGGAGTTGTTTTCTAATGAAATGTTGTAGGAAATAATTGTCATCAAAATCTAATAACACAAAATTATTGCTGAATTTTTGGGGAGCACATTAAGATGAAAGAAAACAAGTGCTTATTGTGGCAGGGGCTTTTAGGCGACATTTTATTTTCGGAAAATATTTTTGTTTGCTTATATACATACGATGAGATAAGTCAAATATAAATCACAAATATAACAGGTTTTTGACAAACCAACCAATAATCATACATTGAATTAAACCGAGATTTCTGTAGAAAAAAAGATTAATTTGTAAAACGAACCTTTAAAAAGGTAGCTGCTGAAAAGAGATGTTTTAGTTATTAGAAATTTTTGGAACACTTTCATGTTTTTGTTAATTTGTACAACAATGGACGTTTATATTTGGGTCATACAAGGATAATATTTCTTCATCGAATGAGTTGATAGTTCTAAAATAAATAAAAAGCGTACATGAAACATATGGAGATAACGAACAGTATTCAAGATCAAAAGTCCATAAAACAATACAAAACAGAAGCAGAGCAAACACGGACCTACAAAACATCAAAGGTGGGATCAGGTGCCATGGAGGAGTGAGCATCCCCTG